AGCGGAGGGCGGGCGGGGAGGCTCCCCTCCACCCGCCGCTCCTCCGCGCGCCCGCCCCCACCACCGCTCTCTGTATCCGGTTTTGTTCTTCTTAGTTCCGGGCAGCGCTCCATTGAAATACCCTTATAGGTTACTCCGGGGCTCGACTAGACCGGAAGGAGAAGAACAAAAATCGTCGGGCCGGTCGGGCGCGGGGAGGAGCGGGGTACTGCCCCCACCCTGCCTCGTTCCTCCCCGCGCCCGACAATTTTTGTTCTTCTCCTTCCGGTCTAGCCGAGCCCCGGGCCTCTGCAGACCCTCCCCACCCCCGCTCCCCCTCTTCTCCTACGTTGACTGCCTCAGCGGCGGCACTGCTAGCTGGCGGCTCTTCAGCTCGCCGCTGCGCGCTGTTAGTCTCTCGTCAACCTTCGTGCGGTGCGGACGGACTGGACGGACCTCGGGGATCCTCAGTGTGCGCGCAGCTATATTCCAATCCTTCTGACTTTGTGAACGCGATTTATTTTTAATGGACTCGCAGTTGTCCGACGCTAGTCAACCGTTTGTTATTTCATTGCCAACTCATGTCTTCGAAGACGAACGTTTATCTGAAAGGAACTGCGGCCTAACCGACAGGTCTTGAAAGCGACAGTTCTGAAGGACACGGTTGGATTTCTTGTCTTTCAATGAAGCATTGCGGTAAAGATGAAATGCAGGGAACAACAAAACGGAAGTCACCGTGTTGCAGCATAGCGATATCCGTTTTCTTCTTCCCCGCATTCTTGTGCATTTCAGCTTTTCCGGAATGTTTTGTTAAAGGTTTCGAGGTGCTATAGAAGTGAGTACTCTGCTCGAGCTGCAAGTGAACCGGACTTTCGTGACAACTAGGTGACATTTTGGATACCCTCTCGACAAGTAAGTTTTAATATTGGTTACTGTTTTGTGTTCTATTTGATAGCGATTAAGTAAATCAACCTAAATGAAATGTGTGATTTAGTGCAACACTTACTTGTCACTTCAGCTCTGAAAGCCCCCCCCCCCCCCCTCTTCCCCCAATCCTAGTGATTTGTGGGTCAAGCGTAATAGGCTTCGCGATCTTGTATCGTTAGGCGCGTGAAACAAAGCATTCCGGTAAATCTGTAGCTGAAGAATGCAGGGAACAAGAAAACGGAAGTTCCATGTAAAGGCATAGTGATTTCCGTTTTCTTCTTCCTCGCATACTTCTGTATTTGGCTTTACCGGAATGCTTTATCCGCCCGGCAGGCGTTACACTGAAGAGAAGCCCCCGTAGGCTACGCACACCCTAAATAACGTGTTGCGTAAGGGACCATCCTTTCTCAAGAGAGCTTTTCGGTGAAGCCAAAATGCAGAAGAATAGATGGTTCCGGCTGTGTGCGTTTCGAGAAAAAATAAGAAAATCGGGACCAGAACCAGTACTAATTTCGCTGATATTTTCTCATTTGACAGTGTAGATCGACGTAACTGATCTCAAGTACCTCCCCAGTAACTGTCAAGGTTCATTTGCACTGGTTTTTACCTTCAATAGACCATTCCACCGACTGTGGAAGAAGAAAGAAAAGAATCAATAACCACCGGAAACAGTATTGATAAAC